TTGTTGCTCTTGAAATTGCGTGAAAAAGATACCCTTAATTGTGTGCTTGGCTTGGTCTTATATAGGGTGAAGAACTTGGGGAAGAAGGCAGTTTCCTTGTGCAATTAAAATTCCTTCACTGCGCTATTTCGCCCATCCGGACGGCCGTGTGAGATTTATGCCTAAAATCCGCACGGCCGTGCGGTCCTTGGTTCTCCAGAATTCTGCTTTTTTCACTTTTGGCCCATATTTTCTCCAAAATTGCAGTTTTGACCCCATACTTTTCCAATTCTTCAATTTATACCTGAAATACAATAAATCAACTTTTTAAGCACCAATTATCGTTAAAACACACCAAAAGCTCAAATAAAAAGATACGATAAAGTGTAAAAATATACACTTAACACACCCCCAAACTTGAACTTTTGCTTGTCCTCAAGCAAAATTTACCAATAAGCAATTAACTCAACGATAACATCTCATCACATAGATCAATGATCAACTTCACGCTTTCAGAACTTGTAATTATAATGACAATTCTTTAGACATTCGCAAGCTCAAAATTCAACAACACTTAGTCACTCACCATTACCAAAAACCACAATTCATACAATTGCTTCAAGCATCCAATATTTATAAATTAAAGATAGAAAGAATTTATACTTACATGCATATGCTTGACTCCAAATACTCACCAAATTATTCTACTCTACTAATATCGAACATTAAGCTATTGGGATCATTGGGGCTTTGTGGCTTTCAATTGTTAGGCTCTTTGGTTCGAGGTAGGAAATATGGGTATATGTGGCTATTCTTCTTGAATTTAGGTGATTACGCCAAAATTTGAAAGATAGGCGTTTGAAACAATGAATTCACCTCTACGGACTTTAGTAAACTCGATTCTCAAAAGTTCAAAAGTCTCTACTTTTGCTTTTGAGGCAATGGATTGAGTTTTCAAAAATAATTCAACAACTAGTCCTTATTTCTCCCTTCTAGTCTCTTCTTCTTCTCTTTTTCTTTTTTTTTTTTTTTTTTTTTCTTTTTTTTTTTTATATATATATAGAAGCATAGATATTTGTCTTCTTTTTATTTCTTTTTTTCTTTTCCTTTTTTTTTTTTTTTTTTTTTTTCGAAGAAGAAGAAGAACCTTATAAAAATTTTCGACCGAACTCCAAGGGGTAATTTTTTTTCAAGAGTCTCCACTTTTCTACCTTATACACATGGTTAAAAGAAAGAACACCTTTTCTCCGAGGCTCAAATCAAGGTTCTAAGGAATTTCGATAAAAAGGTCGGCTTGAAAGGCTCAAACGGTTCAAAGAAGGCCCAAATCATATCCCAAATCACTTACTATTCAATACTTCGTATCATAAATTTCCTAAGGTGAGTCTTAAAACCGAACATAGCATGATCTAGCACAAATTAATTCCAAATTTAAAATACAAAACGTTCAACCAAAGCAAGGCACAAAATGTGATTCCTAGCAATAATTCGCTTCTAAGTCCCGCTGAATCGAAAGCTAAACAAACATCAAATCCTTATCACACAAAACAAGCAATTTTATCATCAAACATTGATCATCTCTCATCATCATAAATCATAGATGCATCATTCGACTCAAGCAAATTTTTTTTTTTTTTTTTTTTTTTTTTTTTTTTTCGGAATTACGAGAAAAACAATAAAAAACGAATAAAACCTAATGCATGCAAACTAAAACAAATAAGCGCAAAAATAACATGTTTTTCACCCCCAAACTTAAAATTTTTGTTGCCCTCAACGAAATTAGCACAAAGTTTAAGGATAGAAAACACCTGATTTAGTCGGGGTCGATGTGATCGGGGTGCTCCTCCCTCGCTCTCTCACGCTCATCCTCATCGGACGGCTCGGACACGGGCTCAAGAATGGGTGCCGGTGGATGCCGGCTCGATGCACTCGGGCTTGCCTTGAAAGATGAGATTTTGAAGAAGTTGGTTCGATGCTCTAGCCTCCCTGTCAATACCAACACAAAATAATAATTTGAGAATGCGTGAGTGAATTATATGTGTGAAATTGAAGAATTTTTGGAAGAGAAGTTCAAAAATTTGAAAATTATGAATTTCAAAATAATCTCCGCGTTGTGTTTTAAACAGAGGCAAATATTCTCATTTGAGAACACATTTTGGATTACGCAGATTTTTATATATAACACAAATAAAAATTAAAAAATTATTGTCTTAAGATTGTTGGTATAAATATAACAATCTGCGTAAATAGTTGAATAAGAATTACACTTACTTGGAAGTAGAAATTAACCGGAAATATGAAGAACGAAAAATCGACTGAGGCTTGCAAAAGCAATGTCCTTAAGACAATATTTCCGAGCTGTCTACGGTGCAACAGTCACTCCCGGTAGTCTCCCAAGATACAACAGTCGGATACTTCGATATTTGCACAAATTCGAAGCCCACGGCGAACTAGAAACGTAGGAACGAAATTTTGAAAGAAGAGTTTTAGGAAAATATTCACAAACGTCTTATTATCTCCTGTGCAAAACTGATCAGGTTTTGTCTAATTTATAGAAATTTAAGAGTCCTTTTGTGAAAGGATATGTTGTTTTGAAAAGAGTTATTTCATAAATAGATGTGTTGTTTGGAAAGAAACCCATTCATTCCAAACATGCACCTATTTGAAATACCCTAATTATTTTATTCAATTAAAAATTCCAACACTTCTTATATATTTTTTAATTTTCTGCAAAACCGGTTTTTTTGACCGGTTTTGGCCGGTTCTTAGCGGTTGAACCACGGATTTTCTGGTTTGTAAGCAAGTGACCCGGGTTTTTGCCATTTCCGGGTTTGGGTGTTGGACCGGACCGGAGTTGTCACCGGTTCCCGGTTAAACCGGTCGAACCGGCCGGTCCGGTCCGGTTTTGAAAACATTGATAAAAATAACCCCTTGATTTTTTAACCAATTAAAACAGATGTAAGTAATGATGGTCAATGCGACATAAGGGGCAAATGGCAAATAAGCCCATGACAAGGGCACTTAACTAAAAGAGGGACATTCAACTTTTTTGTCTTTCAAATAAATCCACCTCATTCAAACTTATTTGCAAATAAGGAAAATCCTTTTATATGTACCAAAATTACCATAAATTCATTGAAACCCAATTCAACTCAAATTTAATGATTCTGCACCACAAGTTAGCCCAATTTCACCAATTAACCAATTTTAACCCTAATTTCAATTTTGATCCGCCACCACCGGAGAAGCGGTCTCCGGCGTTGACATTTTTTTTGAATTTTTTTTCAGCAACAGTAGCATCAATCTCTGTTGATGGGTCAAATTTATCTCGATGCATGAAAAGTCTTTGGAAATTAGATCGGGACAATTTGTGATATTGTATTTTCTGTTTTGGTTTCACTGTGATGTGTATTTGTTGTTGATTAGAACCAAGTGTTCTTTATCATTCAAGTGTATTACAAATTGATAATTATCTTTCAGTTTAAGTTGTATTCTTAATATTTTTTTTCGATAACTTAACTCTTATCTGTTTTTGTCATATACCCGCTGTTAATCAATTCAATCACCTCTGTTGTAATAAAGGTAATTTTGTATTCAATTCTAGTTATCTATTAGCATAGTTTACTGCATAACAATTGTGTGTTTTTGGTAATGCACAGTGATTAACGTTGCTGATTAACATCTGTAGCATTTTTTTTTTCAGTATATGGTCAACTGAAAGTCTTTAATATTACTGTATTGACTACTAAATTACTGTCTCCGATAGTTATTTAATTGTCGGAGACACTAATTTAACTGTTAATTGACTTTTTTTTTTTCTTCAAAAATATTTTTATTAATATTACTGTCTTGGCTGCTAAATTACTGTCTCCAGCAGTTATTTAACTGTCGGAGACAGTAATTTAATTGTTAATTGACTTGTTTTTTTTATATTTAAATTAATATTACTATACTCGTTGCTAAATTACTGTCTCCAGCAGTTATTTAACTGTCGGAGACAGTAATTTAACTGTTAATTGACTTTTTTTTCTTAAAAAAAATATTTTTCATTAATATTACTGTCTTGGCTGCTAAATTACTGTCTCCAGCAGTTATTTAACTGTCGGAGACAGTCATTTAATTGTTAATTGATTTTTTCTTTTTTTTTTTGAATTTTTTTTCTTAAAAAAGATTATTTAAATTAATATTACTGTCTTGACTGCTAAATTACTGTCTCCAACAGTAATTTAACTGTCTCAGACAGTAATATTAATAATATTACTGTTCGGGAAAATAATATAATATTACTGTCCCAAACAGTAATATTACTGTCTGAAACTGTAATTTTGTAGCCAAGACAGTAACTTTAATTAAAATATTTTTTTCTAAGAAAAAAAAAAAAAAGTCAACGCTGGAGATCGGCGGTTAGCGGTGGTTGATCGGCCGGAAAAAAATTTTAGAAAAAAAAAAGTTTCAAGAAAAAAAAAAAAAAGTCAACGTCGGAATCTGGCCGGAAAAAAAAATTTAGAAAAAAAATATTTTTTCAAAAAATATTATTTTGGAGGTTAATGTGATATATTTGTTGAAATCCGGGGTCAATGTGTAATATTAAGGAAGTTAGAGCATAATGGATGGAATTGATAAGAATTATATTATGGAGGGTATTTTAGGCTAATGACATGAGATGAGTTTATTTGAAAGACTATTTTTTTTGTGGACCAATGTGTATTTAAGTCCTATGTGATGGGCCTATTTGCCATTTGGCCAAGAATAAGAATGCACTTCTGTTATATTTCCTCTCAAACTCCTTGTAATTAGGTTCTTCATTTTTTTCTCCCTAATCCTAACACAAACACAACACGGTTGGTTACGCGTGTATATATATATATATATATATATATATATATATATATAATCACAAGTATAAAAGCAACTTCAATCATATAATCTTCCATTAATAGGACTAAAAAACCATCTCTAATTTTTATTCAATTTTTTATTCCCATACAAAATTTCTCTAAAAAATTGTGCTCATCTCAAACATGGCAGCCACACCGGCCTTGCCCACAACATATAATTATCCCCACGAGGACTACGAAGAGGCATCCACCACCACCACCGCCGACTGCAGCTGTCTCCGGCGCTTCCGCTTCGGACTGTACGCGAAGGAGGAAACCAATAGCTACCTTCTGCATGAGGAGGAAGGAGGGGTGGCGGCGCCCCTGACAAAGGGCGCATGGCTTTTCGTAAACCTCAAGAAACTTTGGGATTTCTCGGAGCTTGTGGCGGGGCCTAAATGGAAAAAAATTGTCAGAAAAATCGGTAAGATTAATATTAATTATAAGACCACCGCGCGGTTTCAGTATTCGCCGGAGAGTTATGCCCTCAACTTCGCCGGCGGCAGCGACCGGCCGGAAGATGATGACGATTTGTTGCACAGTTTCTCCACGAGGTTTGCCCCTGCGGGTTTTTCCATAAGTACTGATCAGCAAAAGGAGAGCTGCGCTAAGTGATTAGAAGTAGTAGTAGTTGTTGTTGTTATATTTCTTGAAATTAGTTTATCAGAATTGGTGATTAATATTAATGTGTGAATTGTGATATTGGTTTTATTGATTTCTGTTTTTTCAGAAAAATGATAACTATTTAATTAAAAGGAAAATTTATCCTCTTTTGATTGATTGAATTAGTGGAGTTCGATGCTTTCAGATGCATAATCTTTCCACCTAACGACCGTTGTCAGGTGAATTCGAACCTGGGTCAATTAACACAAGCTCACTTACTCCAACCGCTACGACATTCCTTCATGTGAACTTCTGAATAAAACACCGTTACCCACTTACTGAATACAACCGCAAAAAATAATTTAACAACCCACCAATGGAAACAATCTTCGAAACCTAACATGAGAATATGAGAGGGTTTATGGATGGTCTATTTATTGTGTTAGCCCAGAAAACATAATGAAATTGATATTTTTTTAACTAATCCAAATAGTGTAATCATAATTCACATTCCTCCATCAAATACTTTCGCTATTCTAACGGGCCGTTGAGTCACCATGATTTATATTCCTCCATCAAATACTTGTCGGGCCAAGGGATGTGGGCCTGGGGGCGAGGTATTTCACCCTTTTTAGCAAAAAAGGGGGAGCAAATAAAGGGGGGACTTATCCCATTTTGGAAAGCGAAAGGGCCCAAAGAAAACAATATTTCAGGATAAAAGACTTAGAACGCATGTCTTGTGAAGAAAGTTCAGCGGCGAAGAGAGTTCTAAAGTGCACATTACTAGCGACTTAGGGAATTAGAGTCGAGTGAAGTACCAAAAAAGGAGGAAGTCCCTGTGGTGTTTGTTTTAAATCGCATTGTTGTACTCGTAAATGCAATTTTATCCAGAATGATTCATGATTGATCAATCGATTTGTGTAATGATATATATTGGCAAAAAACCAAGCATCAAACTCTATATACACGAAAACTTGGCCTATGCATAACGTAAACTTGGATATTAGAACGCCAAAACATCATATATTGCAGTAGCACGTTTATTTTCAAGGTTCCCAATTAATCACAATCCATTGCATTGGCATCAAATTCGTGTTCTTCGCAACCTCAAGCTACTGCAATCTTCCATTTCTATTTCCATCGTCAGCCAAACATTGCCCGTCTATCAGTGTCGTTGTGGCATATATATATATATATATATATATATATATATATATATATAAATATATATATATATATATATATATATATATATACACACAACTATATATTACTTCAACCTGAAAACCGCTCTTATTGCAAGACCCTCATCTGTTGGTTTATCACCGTCCCCACTATTTGATACTACAAAAGAGAAAAAAAAATATCAATTCGGCATTGTTTGTGAAAACATTTTAATTCTGGTAAAAATGAGATGAATAAGCATAAAAGCCAACCTCTTGCGCTTGCTTTTCTGAGACGAAGAAGTTGAAGAATTAGTGTTCCAATTCCTTTTTCTTTGATTGATAAACCAATTATTGATCTGTTTCAAATGTAACCCGGTTTCCTGCACCAATCTTGCCTTATCTTCCTCCTAAAAAACAACATATACAGTTAAACCTCTATAAATTAATACAGTTGGGAATAGTAAAATTCTATTAATTTAACAAAAATATTAAATTAGTTGAATTAATAAGTTAGCATATTGTCACGGATTCTGGACCGAGAGAAATTATTATTTAAGCAAAGTTATTAATTTATCGAGATTCTTCTGTTTTATATACAGTCACGAAGAGGAAAATACTTTTCAGACAAAAGAAAAAAACGTTTTTTAGCGGTAATAACATTTTTCTTACAGTTGGATAAGGCCACTTTGAATGAGACTGCCACCAAGCTTTCAATACGGAGGTTGTATCACCGGGCAGTTTTCCCGCCCTTCTTTTTCTTAGTATTTCTTCTCTAATGTCCACAATCTTCTCTTTATAGCCCTATAAAAATAAAATAAAAAATATTAAATTAAATTAAATTAAATTAAATCACACACAAGATTCTCGAAGCATGCGCCACATTGATTTTTTTTTTTTTTTTTTTATTTATTTGGCGGACCTGTTTAAGATCGTGTTTAAGCTCGTGTTTGACACGTTCAATCAAAGATCTCTCGGTTTCTGTAGGGACAAGAGGGCCGAATCCCATGTTGTCTGATCCATCGAAGGATTCATCGAACAAATTAATTTGAGTATCACTGTCTGCATTCATGTCCTCGTCATCATCCGACATGGTTGCTCCTGTACCTTCACTTGGTGCTACACCTGTCGAGGGAATTAATAATGATTTGACACAAGATACACGTTTGCTATTTGCTATTTTAAATGTGGATTATTTCTATTGAAACAACTAACTGAATTTCTTTTTCTTCGTACCGAAAAAATTTACAAAAAAGAAAAGGAAATTTGTCTACTTATTTGCTTTGTATACGACGGAAGTAAGAGTAGAAGAAAATTGTGCATTCAAGAAGAAGTACTACCAAGAATCTTGAACAAATTTCCATGAACAAGGTCTAATTAACTTCAATGAATTATTATGTGAAATGACTTGGAATGAAAAACGTACTTTCGGCTAAAAAAAAATTCGTATATTTATTTATTTCAAATGTAAAGAGACGATACCTGTTAGGGTTTGAAATGATTGCTCGAGCTCCCAACAAGCCATGACTGCTTCCATTGCATGGACTCGGACATGTTGTTGCAGTTGTTCTTTGAAAGACGACAGTAATAGAACGTAATGCGTCTACATCACAACGAAACACACACATGTAAGAAAAACCAAATAAAAAAAAAATTTATATTAAAACATGGCCAAAAGGTTCACCGTAACATAAAGTACAAAGAATCATAATAAAAGATTGCACAAAAAAATTGAATCAAGAAAATACCCATTTAATTATTTTCGGGACATCAAAACATCTATTTCGAACCAATTGATGCACGTAATTACATCGATCTAAATGCATCGGCATAAGAAGGATCATGAATTCAAGAGGGCTGTTGTTTGACATAGTTACAGTCTTAATAAAAAATAAATAAAAAATCCTAAGATAGGTAAAGATCCAATTTTATAAAGAAGTGGAAACTATAAAGTTTGTCCATTTCCGGATGAAAAAAGGAAGTTACGGAAGCAAAACGAAACGAGTAATAAGTGGAGCTGCATCAAGAAAGGGATTCTCCAAAGCACTATAATGAATATATATATATATATATAGAGTCTCAATTATTAGTGTAGTGAGTACAACAGATTCCTCTTCCGACGGGACACAACCAAATATTCTTAATTTTTCAAAAATCATTATATGCACATAAACATCATCAAATAAACCAAACTTAATAATTCTCTTCAATCTTCCTCTGTACGAGCCAATAAAGTCATCTACACACACAAAGACCGAACTCAGAGCAAAATGTCGAAAAGTTCAACAATACATCATTAAACCTAACAACAACAAATAGCATAGTGAAAGAAAGGTGTTATGTGGGGTGCCTTAAACATAGAAGTGACATGTAACTATATACGTGGCTTAGCTTTATTTTGAGCAAGATTCTTTAATGTCAATTTTTAGAGGCATTAATTCTTCAAAAACTAACATTTGGAAGTTATGAGCAAACAAAATTAAAAAAAAACCATCAAATTAAATGATGTTACATACGACTTGCATATATTAATGTTAGAGTATGTGACCGGCGAGCCAACTTTATGCTGTGGTCATTTTGTGCAACGAATCCCAACAAACAATTAACTCAGACAAAAAGCAGAGCAAATTTCAAGAACCCAGAAAAACAAAAGCTAGAAAATATAATTAATTAATCAACAATTAAAAAAGACGATTCTTGATCATTATTAATTAGGAGATACATAAAACAGAGATTAATTAGTTAGTTGGTCGGTACCATGAAATTGTCGAGGTCTTTATCATCAAGGGGGAGTTGACCGTGACCATGTCCGAGAAGAGAGTATTTAGCCACCAGCTGATGCGACTGAGAAAGCTGACCGTCGATTCCGGGCAGCTGGTCCACCGGCGTAGCTATGCGGAGGCAGGTGACGTGTGCCGACAGCAGCTGTTCGTACAGAGGGTGGCTCAGAATATCCACCTTGCACCTCTCTTTCTCCCAGTCGGCCGTGTTGTTTTCGTTGCTGTTATTACTGTAATCTCCGCCGCCGCTGTCTTGGTTGTGATCGCTGTTTTCCGGCGGGGTGAGGGGGCAGGGTTGACTTTGGGTGGGGAGCCACTGGTGGTGGAGGGTGGAGCTGTTCAGCCAGGCGGTGGTGGTCAGGGTTGGTTTTTCATCGGGGATGATGGAGCGGAAGAGGGCGGCGGAGGAGGAGGAGTGGTGGTCGTCGGAGTAGCGGGGGAGGTGAAGGGGCGGCGCTTCTTGGGAGAGGCGGTGGTCCTGAAATGCCATATAATTTGTTTGTTTGTTTGTTTGTTTGTTTGTGTATGGTGAACCAATTTTCAAAGCTGCCGAATTATAGACAGGGGGGCTGGGGGTGGGGGTGGGGGTGGGGGCGGGGTGGAAGGTTTGTTGGTGTAGGACAAGTTATATAGCATGGAAGTGGAAAACAAGAGGTGCTTTTTCTTTCTTTTATTTACATTATTAAATATAATTAATTAAAAATTAAATAGCCAAAATGTTTGGGATATTTTGGCAAAAGAATAAGTTGTAGATTCTTTTATTTAATAGGACAAATGTTATGTTGGTGCCTGGTGGTATGAAATAAAATAGGGCGATTTCCCCAAGTTCTTAATCCAAATTATTAAACTTTGAATTCTTAATTGGTGTCCATGTAGTCAATAATTGTTTTGGAGCTCTTTGATAAAAGGGACAATTTGCTATACACGCTTTAATTGTCTTTCAAATCAGGATAGACCGACTTTTGCAATCTACTAAAAGTTTTGTGTTCATCGGACTCTCCACACTTTGTCATATTATGTGCAATCTCGTTGCAATCCGTTAAATCTGGTACATGTAGCTGCCATTGTTGAAAAGTTCTGCCACATAGCCACACACGGTGCACACACATCAATCACACACTTACATAAGCACATACGCAATACGAATTTGATTACATCCATTCATCTTCGTTTTGTAGAATAATAATCATGGAAACAAAATCGAAAAAATATTAAGAATTGTTTGGAGATGAAGATGTTGATGATGTTGGTGGTGATGTACGCACCAAAGATTTATTTTTCTCGACTTGTTTAACTAAGCTAAGCAAATAAGTTGTCTAAATTGTGTAACTAAGCTGTCTAAGTTGTGCAACTAAGTTGTATGTGTAAG